CTGCCTCAGCCCCACTCCAGCCCCAACTCCAGCTCTGGTTGTGATAGGGTTAGGTTCCTGCCTCAGCCCTGCTCTGGCTCTGGCTCCAGTGCTGGCTTCTGCAGTGGGAGGTGGTTGGGTGACCTGAGAACATATCCACTGAGAGGCTGCTCAATAGTGTTAATTGAAGTGGAAGGCAGGTTGGACAGACTCACAGGAACATGTTTGTGCCTCCCTGCTGGATCTTTCTGGTTTCAGTTTGGGCAGTTCTGCAGGGTCCTGAACTGAAACTGGCTCTGTACAGCAGTTGCTCCTGAGAAGGGGAGAAGATAATTTAGAATTGTTAAAAATAAGTTAGCTCAGTGTAAGGAGTTTAGTTGAAGTTTCAGACCAGAAGTGCTTAGTTAAAGCACTGAAGGAATGATTTGAAGCTGAAAAGATTTAAGCTTGTTGTATGAAGGCTTGAGGAAATGGTTCTTAGATTCTGGAAAGTAGAAATTGAAGCCACAGATAAATGAAGCTGTTTGGGGGGATAGAGAAGGGAATCCTCTCTGGTGTCAGTGCTGTAAAGAGATGCTTTTGGGATTAATGGGATTATATTTTTACGGTGTGTTTCAAAATCTTTAAATTTGAACTATATGTCACTGAGGAACAAAGTGTCTGATGATAAAACTGATACCAAGTCATGGACCACAGAGCAGCAGAGTTATCAGCCTTCTGGATGAATATAGATCGACAAACAGCAGTTACTTGAAATCTCGAGGGAAATATTACCAGCAATACCTCCGCAGAATCCTACAAATCCACTGTCAGGATAGGCACTCTTACATCAGTGTCATCTCTCAGGCTTGAGGCACTGAGTTACTGTCAATCAGCTACATTAGACAGACCACATCCTCTGGATGCCTGACACAGGACTCCAATATGATCTCCTTACTCTGAGCTCCATTGCAACAACTGGTTACCTGGAGGGCAGAGGAAACATTTCAAGGATGGCCCCAAATTCTCTCTGAAAAAAATGCGACAACCCCATTGTCTTCTGGGAATCTCTTGTTCAAGACCGTCCCAAACCAGCAAAGCAGCATCCACAAAGCTAGCAATCATTTTGGATCTCTCTGAGACACCCAAATGGGGACCAGACACAGAGAGTGGGAGGAACATCCCACACAGTCCCCCCTGCAAACATCACCCACTCCATTTCCAGCAGGTGAGTCACCTCAGGACAGTGAAGGGGGCAGTAAAGTTATCCTTTGTCATGAGGGACTGCCTAAAAGAGAGGTAAACTCCTGCAGTTCTGCACAAAGAGATCTTGTGATGCAGTGGGCCTGTCCCACTTGACTTACTGGCCACGGAGGGAGAGTTTGTTCAACAGGCTGCTAATAGCCAGGAAATCCTTCCAACTCCTGGTGAAACTGGGTTTCCCCTTCCCCAGAAAGAGAATCGAGTGAGTGCTGCTGCTCTGAAGTGTCTGTCTGAAGTTTATACTCAAGGCTCAGAGAGGGATTTGAACCTATAACCGTCTGACTCAGGCGCAAGGGTGTGACCCATTGAAACAACGTTAGCAGGTGATGAGAGTTTAGTGTTTCTACAGAACAAAGAACATCTGCCTTGCTCTTTGTAATAGGATCCATTCAGTTCTTGGCAGCTGGAACACTGCTCCATTAGTGAATCATTCAGACCTGCCTGATAAGAAGCTGTCATGTGCCAGAACTTGAATTTGTTGTGTCATCAGGGAAGCAAACTTTTCATGTCTCACTGCCAGGAAGAGCGTTCCGAGACTAAATGCAATTGCTGCCAATCGGAACTAATTTCCCGAAAATGGTGCAAGTGATAGGAACCGTTCATGAAGAATACAGGAGCAAACAATCATCTGTGCAATTATTTTGTGCTCATTGCAAATGCAGAAACAAACACCAAGTTTTCTAACGTGATGAATTGTGTTGAGTCTGTGTATGATCCATAGTCTTTGCCACTACTGCTCAGCTAAAGACGGAAGGAAAGGTTTTGGAGAGCTAGATATCTACCCCATTTATAATTACTCACATCTCTCCAGGACAACCACTTTGTTACACGCAATGGCGGGGGTGGGGGAGGGGGGGCAGTGTTTGAAAACGAACAAACCTCAGAGAATATTCCTGAATGTAATCATTACAAAGTTCTACAAAAGAAGGCAAATAAACATCAAACATTTCAGTGCTGAAATTGCTGAGTTGTGTATTGCATAGTTAATAAACCCTGATGTATTCAACTTCAATAAGACAAAGAACTGCTAATGCTGGAAATCTGAAAACAAAATTGCTGGAGAAACTCAGCAGGTCTGGTAGCATCTGTGGAGAGAAAACAGAGCTAACGTTTTGAGCCCAACGATACTTCAACCTCAAACTGTGGATGATTTTCCAGTCAGCTTTAACCTATGGCTTTGGAAATCAGTTATTTTTCTTCCACTGTGTCCCAATGAACTCACATCTAAATCCCCCTTTCACACTGTATGGTAGTTTAAGATTTTAGGATGAGTTTACTGATTGTAGGCTTGCCTTATGTAAAAGTCAGTGCATCAGAATGTTTAGTTAGAAATGAGCATAAAATTTGAACATTATTTAACCATTAGTAAGCTAATTTCTTTTTGTATTCTGGTTTTGTGAAGAATCAGATGTGCAATAAGGAATGTGCCACATTGCAGGGGAGGCGATAGCCTAGTGGTATTATCACTGGTCTGTTAATCCAGAGACCCAGATAACATTCTGGGGATGAATCCCGCCATGGCAGATGGTTAAAATTTGAATTCAATAAATATCTGGAATTAAGAGTCTGATGATGACCATAAAACCATTGCCAATTGTAGGGAAAAATCCATCTGGTTCCTTTAGGGAAGGAAACTGCCATCCTTACCTGGTCTGGCCTACATGTGATTCCAGACCCACAGCAATGTGGTTGACTCTTAACTGCCCTCTGGGCAATTAGGGATGGGTAATAAATGCTGCCCAGCCAGCGCGACCCTCATCCCATAAAGGGAAAAAAAACACAGGTCTACACATTAGCCTACAGTATGAGGCTGACATGCATTGGATGCTGGGAGAAATCCCCATGTCAAGCAGATGGCTTGAAGTCTGCACATTTTGATGCACCTCCACCTCAGAATTCACCTTCCTTTGATGCTGAGTTAATGCATGTGCAAAGACATTGGTGAGTTTTTAGGATGTAATTCCTGTAGCTCTGTCTTATAGAGCTGTCATCATAATTAAAAAGTGCAGCATAGTATCTGCTATCCAATGCTGGAGTACTGTCTGCAAAGCTGAGCTTTTTCTAATCAGTTTCACTGCATTTTCTTTTATTACAGGGGAAGAGTTCTCCAGGAAAGCCTGATTAAATTGGTTGATGCTTGTAATGACCAATCCAATAGCATTGACAGGTGGCTCAGTAAACTGGAGGCTTCCAAATGGCTGGGCCATGTTAAAACTTTATTGACCAACGCTTGTATGGCTGCACAGTGTGTCGACAGGTAACGGACTTGAACTTTAAGCATCATTTTCTAACAATAGTAATCTTTTATGGTTAGGACATTATATTCCCCAAACCTCTTGCTGCCCTTGGAGTTCCCTCTTGCTGGGGTGGCGAGTGGGGGTGTTCTGTTAGCTCAGTTAGCTGGAATGTAATACCAAGTGATGCCAATAGCATGGGTTCAATTCCTGTGAGCAGCTGAGATTACCATGATACAGGTCCCACCTTCTCTACCGCGCCCTTGCCTGAGGTGTAATGACACTCAGCTTAAACTCACCACCCGTTGTCTCTTGCTAATGAGGGAGCAGCCTGAAGGGTCTATGAGATAACACAGTGTGGAGCTGGAGGAACGGAGCAGGAAAGCTGACATTTCGGGTCGGGACCCTTCTGCAGAGATGGGGGAGGGGGAAGGGAGCTCTGAAATAAATAGAGAGGAGGGGTGAGGCTGGGGAAGGTAGGAGGGATGGTGATAGGTGAGTGCAGGTAGGCAGTGGTGGGGTTTGGTCAGTGGGAAGGGTGGGGCGGATAGGTGGGAGAGAAGATGGACAGGTTGTGACAGGTCAAGGAGGCAGGGATGAGAGGGAGGGTTGGATGTGGGATGAGGCTGGGGGTGGGGAGATTTTGAAGCTAGTAAAGTCCACATTGAGACCATTGGGTTGTAGGCTCCCAAGGCGGAATATGAGGTGCTGCTCCTCCAGTTTCCAGGTGGCATTGTTGTGACACAACCTGTCCATCTTCTCTCCCACCTATCCACCCCCCCACCCCCTCCCTGACCCATTCCCCCCTCCCCCCCCGTCCATCTTCTCTCCATTTATTTCCTAATTCCCTTCCCCCTCCCCCATTTCTGAAGAAGGGCCCTGACCCGAAACGTCAGCTTTCCTGCACCTCTGATGCTGCCTGGCCTGCTGTGTTCCTGCAGCTCCACACAGTGTTATCTCTGACTCCAGCATCGGCAGTTCTTACTATCTGATGGGACTACGGTTACTTTACGATTTAGACTTGCTCAAACCTATTCCACAGGAACCAGCAAAATCCTTGGTACACGCCATTTTCTCCCGTGTGAGGACAGATGATCAGAATCAGTGGGACAGAGCAACGCACCTCAATCTTGCTGTTGTCTGATGTTCACCTAAACACACTTCCCAGGGTGATCACCCATTAGAAATCAGAAAAAGCATTCTGGCTAAACACCGAGGCCAGCCACAGTGATCTAACTGCGACTGAAACATAGATTGGCTAATTCAAAAGAAATTAGGGAGCTCTTATGGTAGTTTTATGGATTCCTGTTTGTAATACTGGGCCATTGTAATTGTGCTTTTTTATATTAAGCAGCTGACTATTAGAATTACTGTGGGATTGATGTTTAACTGCACACTTCCCTTTTCTTTTCCCAAACCATTCAAAAGATTTCAAAATTATTTTCTAAATTAAGATCCTCTGTAAGGCTCGGCTATCATACCATGAAAGTCAATGAATGTGGCTGATTACACAAACACATAACCTGAGTATTTCTGGGAAAAGGAGGAATGTTCTCAAACTTTTTCAGCTTGTACTCATCAGGATAGAATCATAAGGATATCAAATCCCGAAGGGAACAACAATTTATATTGCATACGAAACAGGGTGCAGATTGGTTAGCAGGAGAAAGGCATTAAGATGAATCTTGTTTGGAGAGCTGGTGCAGACACAATGAGCCAAATGGCCTCTTTCTGCACCATAACTACATGATACTGAGGTTTGTAAGTCAACCCTGATTGGTGTAATGGGAAATTTACCAACAAATGATTTTTTTCCAAACTTTGATTTAGTTGAAAAATGTGCAATGCATAGACATGTTCACTCTGGTTGCATAGGGCAGGGCCCTGTGTAGCTTCTAGAATGCAAAAGTGAGACACTCTGAAAGCTTGACTGACAATCCTAAATTGGTTGCCTTTGTAATTCCTAGCACAATCAGTCTTGGAGCAGAGGAGATTAGGAGGGGACATGATTGAGATGTCCAAAATTCTGAGGGGCAGGGTGTTTGGGAAGCAACCTTTCTCCTTGGTGGAGGGGTCAGTGACTGTGGTGGCGGGGGGGGGGGGGGGGGGAGGGGGGGGGGGGGGGTTGGGAAGGGGGGGGAGGTGGGGAATAGATTTAAGGTAAGGGGCAGCAGGTTCAGAGAAGGTGATAGGAAAAACATTTTCACCCAGAGGGTGGTGGGAATCTGGAACTCCCTGCCTGTAAGGGTGGGAGAGGCTGAAGCCCTCATTACATCTAAGAAGTATTTAGATGTGCACCTGTGATGCCAAGAAATACAAGGCTATGGGCTTTGGAAAATGGGATGAGAATAGTTAGGTAGTTTTTTTGACCAACATTGATGTGATGGGCCAAAGGGTCTTTTTCTGTGCTGAAGATCTCTGTGACTGTATGGCTATGATTGAGGATTCCAGCAGCAGAGAAGCTGAGGTCACAGTAGAGTTGGGTGAAATTACGAAGGTGGAAATAGGCAATGTCAGAAATGGAGAAGATGTTTCATTGGAAGTTCAGAGTGGGGTGAGGGGGGCGGTCAAATAGATCACTAATGTCGCAGAAGTTCTGATGTAGTGTTGGCCAGCAGACTGTTGCCATGGTTTTCTCAAGCTTTAAAGGAGTATTCGGAACATTACCTGGAGAATCTCAATACTTCAGGATTAGCAGCAATTCAACATTGACCACAAAGAACTTCAGAATATTAATTTTATTTAATATTGTTTATTTTCTTGTTTGGACAAAGTAAATAGATTTTAACAAAGACTGTGATTCTGTCAAACTGAAATTAAGTTAGGTTAAAGTTAATTATAAAGAATTACAACTAAACCTGAGAAAGCATGTCACTGGCTATTGGAGTCGATTTGAGACTGATGATGTCACTTTGCTGTCACAGGGAAGGAGCGTCTGTCCTGATCCATGACTCTGAGGGTAGAGACTCAACCCTCCAGCTCACATCGCTGGCACAAATCATCCTGGATCCAGACTGTCGAACCATTGATGGCTTCCAAGCAGTTATCGAGAGGGAGTGGTTACAGGTATGTAAAATCAGAAGTAAGTATGATTAAGAAAAGAGATAACAGAGTGTGGAGTTGGAGGAACACAGTATCAGAGGAACAGGAAAGCTGATGTTTTGGGTCAGGGCTCCACACTGTGTTATCTCTGACTCCAGCACTGGCAGTTCTTACTATCTCTGGATGGTTAAGAAAAGATCAGTTTTCCTCCTGGTGCACAGTTTGCACGGACCATGTACAGTGCACCCTCTCAGGAACGTGACCCCGCCATTTAATGTCTTCAAGATGAAGTGTGCATGAACATTCCGGTCTGTAAAGGTTCTAATATCACACTCCAGAATATTCAGCCCCACAGCTTTGTTATAACAACAGGAACTTAGTTTTCACCCTTCCCTCTGCTATCTACAAGTAATACTGCCTCACTCTCCAGTTCATCAGCAGACTATTACTCCACGAAGTATTTAACCATTGGTCTGTACCTGTCTCTGGAATCTAGAAATTTGTAGCTCACATCTAACTTTAGCAGCGGAAAGAGACAGCCCCATGGCTTTGCTGTCAGGATACAGGCTCAGGAGGGGGTCTGCCATCGAGCTGCACTTAGTCAGCGCCGTGAACAATTCACACAACATCACTGTGCCAGGAGTGGGAGAAAACCAGCTCGTGGAATTAACTACATTGCTCTTTGAAAGATCAAGCTTAGAGATGGTGGGCTGAATGGGCTTGTTGTGTGCTGGAGGAGTTTATGATTTTATATGATTCCTGGATCTCAGATCCAGAATGCTATCCAGTCATTCTTGCTGGAAGGTCTGTTTGTTTGTGCGCATTGCAGGGGAACAGTATAAGGCTTACCTGTGAGACCTCACATGGTTGAATTTCCCCAGCACTTATTATTGAGGTTCATAAAATGAAGAAGCCACCTCAAAAAACAATATTAATACTACTGATCCTGAGGTTGCCTCTATTCCATTACTGATACCTTTACAAAGGTGAATGGTTGGCATTGCTCGACCTGAAGTGTTCAGTCACATTTTTATTTTCTTCTTCTTCTTCAGGCAGGGCATCCTTTCCAACACCGTTGTGCCAGTTCAGCTTATTCACATGCGAAGCTGAAACAAGAAGCACCTGTCTTCCTCATCTTCCTGGATTGCTGCTGGCAGATGAGCATCCAATTCCCTTGCTCGTTTCAGTTTAATGAGCACTTCCTGATCACATTGTTTGAACATGCCTATGCATCCTGCTTTGGGACATTCCTGTGTAATAATGAAAAGGAACGGTAATGTACAAGGAAATCATTTTACCAAACTCTACCTAATGTGAAGGTCATTGTCAGTGAATCATCGCTGAGTTCTTTACAGTAACAGTCTGTGTAATTATTCTATCAGGGCTTAGTTTCTGTAGGTCAAATTTCATTAAATGTTTCTAAACTTCTAAATATTTTGAGAATCAAAATATTGAATCAAATAAATATTACCCAACAATAGATAGCTAAATATAATCCACTTAGAAAAACAGAAAACTGCTGGAACTCTGAAAAGAAAAACAGAAATTGCTGGAGAAACTCAGCAAGTCTGGCAGTATCTGTGGAGAGAAACCAGAGTTAGCATTTCAGGTCCAGTGACCCTTCTTCAGAAGTGATGGAAGCTAGGAAAAGCTTGGTATATATGCTGGAGAAGGTGCGGGGAGAGGGAAGGAATGAACAATAGGTAAAAATGGAGCTGAGAGGGAGAGAGAAACAATTGGGCAGAAAAAGAAGTGGGTAAAGGTCAGCCTTGGAGAATGAATAGCTGCTCATGGGGACCTTTAGTGGCTGACAACGGATTGTTTGTGGTAGAAGCCCATGTGATGACAACGCTTGGAATGTGGGGTTTGGGAATAAGGACATGTGAAAAGGTGCTCAGGCCCTAAAATGATTGAACTCGATATTGAGTCCAGAGGGCTGCAGGGTCCCCAAGTGGAAAATGAGGTGCTGTTCTTCCAGCTTGTGCTGAGCTTCGCTGGAACACTGCAGCAAGCCAGAGACAGAGATATTGGTCAGGGAACATGATGATGTGTCGAAGTGGCAGACAGTTGGAAGCTCAGGGTCTTTGCAGAACATATGTGTCCTGTGAAGCGGTCATCCTCTCTGCATTTTGTCTCCTGATGTCTCATTTGTATCCCAGATGCTTGGGGAAATTCTCAGAAACCTGCCCCTGCTTCACAGTGGTGAGAGTTCCCTTTATATCTGATTTCAAATGATGGTGAAGATGGGAGATATGAAATACATCAGTTGTCATGTTCCAAAATTCTCGAGACTTGTTGGGAAAGCCCCAGCAGAATGGTGCATTGCAAATGTACCCCTCTACTCAAGAAAAGAAAGAACCAGAAAGCAGCAAACAATAGGCAATTTGCCTCATGTCTATTATATACAAAATGCTACAATCCATGATTAAGGAGGTCATGGAAGGACACTTAGAAATTCATAAGGCAGAGTTGACATACTTTTGTGAAAGGGAAATTATGTTTAGCTAATTTATTAGAGTTCTTTGAGGCAGTAACAGTTAGGATAAAGCCTGTAGAAATTGTGTGTTTGGGTTTTCAAAAGCATTTGATAATGTGCTCCATCAAACGTTACTGCAAAATAACAGCTCACAGTGTAGCAGTTGAAGATTAGCGGGAGCATTCTGGACCCATAACTCTGAGGTCGACGAATTAAAAGCAGAGGTGTTACCCATTGTATGGTGGGTAGCAGCCTGGCCTATTAATCAGAAGGTTTAGTGTTCAAGTCCAACATCAGTGACAACATCTAGAGGATTAGTTAGCTAACAGCAATCAGAGAGTAGGGATAAATAATTCATTTTCAGGTTGGCAAGATGTAACTAGTGGAGTGCGACAGGGATTAGTGCTGGAGTCACGATTACTCAGAATCATTACAAATGACATGGATCAAGTGACCAAATGTATAAGAGCTGTGTTCTGAAGAAGAGTCATATCAGACTTGAAACATTAACTCTGTTTTTCTCTTCACAGATGCTGCCAGACCTGCTGAGTTTCTCCAGCACTTTCTGTTTTTATTATGTATGAAAGCTACATTGGCTGGTAAGACAGGGATAGGTGAGAAAGTAAGTTATCAAGAGGACATGAAGAATCTACAAAGGGATTTGGATAGATTCAGCGGTTGGTTAGATTTTGGCAGGTGACATATAATGTGGAAAAATGTGAACTTCCCAATTTATCTGTAAGAATAGAAAATAGAGAAAGATTGCAGAACTCTGAGGTGCAGAGGGATCTTTTTGTCCTAGTACATGAATGAAAAGAAGTCAGTATACAGATGCAGCAAGTGATTGAAAGGCAAGTGGAGTGTTGATGTTTACTGAAAGGTTATTAAGTATAAAAATAGGGACATGTTGCTACAGGCCCTTGGTATGACCACCTTCAGAGGACAAGGTACAGTTTTGTCTCCTTGGCTATAAGAAAGGATTTAAATCCATTAGGATGTAGTTCAGAGGCGGTTCACTTGACTAATGCCTGGGATGAAGGGGCTAGCACATGAGGAAAAGTTGAATGAGTCCATTGCAGCTTAGAAGAATGAGAGATGATCTTGTTGAAGCAAATAAGACCCTGACAGGACTTGACAGGTTGGATGTTGAGAAGTGGGTGAGTGTAGATCAAGGGGACACTGTTTAAATGTTAGGAGTCTCCCAAGACTGAGATGATTAGAATTTGATTTTTCTCCCAGAAGCTCGTTAATCTGTGGAATTCTTCTCTCCATACAGCAGTGAGACTGGATCATTGCATTTACTCAAGGATGAGTTAGACTGTTCCACTACCCAGAAAAATCATACTTCAGTGACAAGACTGTGTAGTTGTTTCATTTTAAATTAAGCAATCTTGAGATCCATATGACATTGAACCACAAAAAATTCTCGGGGGAGACCAAACACGTTGCAGCAACAAGCAACATTTCACTTTCTAATGGACAGTTTGTAGGGCCAGGAGGAATATGATTGCTCCCCTGATCTTTGCAATGAATCCCTGGCCCTTCTTGTTCAGAGCCTTCCCTCTTTGCTGCCAGTTACCAGTTTTTCATTCAAACTCTCTGCCTGGTCTGAGCCTCATGGTGTGAATAAGTTTCTCGTGCTATGTGAGGCTCTTTAGCATCAACTCTGAGGTCCTTCCTCCCTGTCAGGTGGGATGGGAAATGATGCTGAATTATTCAGATAACATCCCAAGTTAAATAGCCTGGAACTCACTGAACTCTGAGGAAGATCATCCCTGACTGCCAACCCCACCATGTCCCAGCTACCTAACGTGGAACTAACTACTCGTGCAATCCTATTATTGAATTAGCAGTGACATGAAGGTCCAACAGACACTGAACATTAAGTTGTGTATTTCAATTCCACTTCCTCTTTAGGTTCAGGAAAAAGCTGTAATTTCAAGTAAATCCCACTAACATGGAACTCAGATTTGTGAAATCCTAATTACGTGCAACAAATTATTTCCTTAACTTGGGTATAAACTGGCCAACCATCAAAAAGAAGCAATTTCCGCAGAAGTTAAGGCATTCTAACCAGAAGGTTTGCAAAATCCAGTGAGTGAGGGGCTGGGTATGGTTTTTAATAACAAAAGGGATCAGAATTTGCCTTTGGTTCTTAGTACAATCTAACAGTTAACAGCATTAGGGTTTCAGATTTATGTACAGTGTGCAGGCTGAGGAACTTCCTCCTAGGGAAGTGCACCAATTAGGCAATATGCAGTCATGTGCAGTTATACACCGCTTGTCCCAACGACGGGGTGAATGCAGACTTTTGTTTTCCATACTCAGGTTTTCTTTTAATGTTGTACTTATTGTGTAAGCATTGCAAGTTCCAGAGCTACAATTTAGCCAGGTTGAAGGCTAGCTTTAAAGGAAACATCTCGATGGAAGGAAGAGGCAAGAACACCAAAAACTTTTGTTTCTGATTCTGATTCTTGTGTAATGCATTGGCTGTTCCTCCTCCAACTGCGTTCACAAATAACCATTGTATTGGGAGTTTTAAATTCAGTGATTAATGTGACCCTGCCAGAGAGAAAGAAAATGTTTAACTTCAAACTAAAGTAAGATTTATGGGGTTTATTTAAACAGCACATGGGAGAAGATTTGGGAACTCCCAATTATATGTTAGCTTCCACTATCCATTACAGTGGATAATTGCGTATAATGAAAGTCTTTTGCTTTTGAAATGAGCTGGTTTTCTGGTGGGAGAAGTCATTATTAACACCTTCACATTCTGGTGGAGGAAGTCTCTCCTCCAGTTGTTCAGAAACAAATCAGTGGAAATTACCTCCCAAAGTGTCACTCAGATTTTGATTCTTTCGCTTTGACTGAGCATATTATTTAGACTTCACCATTTTAAGAATGAAAGAGGAAATGGTCACATCTTCAAAGCAAGTTGCTGCCCCCTGGGAGATCCAGCACATTTCAAAATGTTCTAGTTCTGAAAACATGGTTTGTAGAGAGCTGTAGCTGAGGTTGTAGCAGCAAGAGATCATTGCAGTTTCAATCAGGCCTTTAATGTAGCTGTGCTTCTGTTTTATTTGGCAAGGATGTTACACAGAGCAGACTTCACTATGTCTGTTTCACAAATTCTAACACACTTATATCTGAACATTGTGCTCCTGATTCACACTGCTGACAATATTCATCTGGACAAGTTAGGAGAATTCCAGAGGCTGGATTTGGCCAAAAGGAATCACCTAAACAATGGATTTTTGTCAGTTATTCACCAAACTAGTGGGCAGAAGGAAATGTTAAAGGCTCAGTGTGTATAAACATGTGGAACTAGTGGAGTATGTGGTGACATGAATCAGTGATATCGGGTCCTATACTGCAACTGACCTTCCAGAGATGACATTTCCTAAATCTCAAGATTAATAATCAAAGGTATAGAAGACTGATACTTTCATTAGCTCCATGTCAGAAGTGAGAAAGATACTTAAAGATTTGAGGCCTGTGTCAGAATACCCCTGTCACAGAGCCTCACCATCAATGTACAAATCTCTTTAGTCTTCCCTGTCTTTCAGAAAGATCACTGTGGTTAACACAAGGATGGGGGTTGTCACGGAGAGTCATAGAGTCATACAGCATGGAAACAGACCATTCCTTCCAATTATCCAGGCTGACCAGCTTTCCCAAACCAAACTAGTTCCAGTTGTCTGCATTTGGCCCACATCCGTCTAATTTTTTCCTTTTTATGTACCTATCTAAATGTTTTTTAATTGTTGTATCTGTACTTGCATCTACCATTTCCTCTGGCAGTTCATTCCACACATTAAACACCCTTTGTGTGAAAAAGTTGCCTCTCCTTTCCCTTATTAATCTTTCTCCTCTCACCTTAAACCTATGCCCTCTAGTTTTGAACTACCCTACCCTAGAGAAAAGACCTTTGCTGTCCCTCATGACTTTATAGAGATGTAAATAAGGTGAATAGCAAAGGAATTTTACCTAGGGTTGGGGAGTTCAAAACTACAAGGCATAGGTTTAAGGTTGGAAAGGAATTCAATTTGAGTTGATGTATACAAAGGAAGATTTACTTTGTGATAATTAGTATTACCCATGATCAAACTTAACATAGTATCACATAAGGAGCAAAGATAAATTAGCAGATTCGACTGGGTCCTCAATATAGATTGTGATTTGGTTTCCAAGCTAATCATCACCAGATTTTGCAGTGAAGTGGGTGAGTGGGATTAATCAGCCCTATTATAATTATTGGATCCTGCTTCTTCGAACTTGCTTCACTTGTAATTTGGAAGAAAACTCTCTCTTGTATTAGATTAAACCAGTCAGCAGAAGATATAAAATAGTGGTGGCAGAAGTACTCATCTTTGGAATATTTTCCTTTTTGTTTGTAGGTTTACCCTGAATGTGAAGGAACAGACTATTTCGATTTGGAGTTGGATGAACAGACCTTGTGAGCGAAAGCAATACATTAATCCTCTGTATGAAAGAAACAACTTCGCTATCTGGCCTTCCGTAGCTCCACAGAGCTTGCAGCTTTGGCAAGGTACATGGGACTCGGGTCTTTAGCGAAAACTGCTAACCAAGAAGCAGCTCCCCTTTGTGTCAGGCCCTCCTGACCCATCGATCAGTTGACACTAAAAAAACCAAACAGGTAGTGTGTGACCTGACCCATATTTTAGACAAGGCTTTAAACAGAACCTGCTTTCCCTTTCAGGTTCAGGTAAAACAGCATAGGAGACTATTTTAGAGAACTGTGGACTCCTCCCCAATATTGTGGCCAGTATCTTACCACCATTACACCGAAACAGGTCAACTGGTCTTTATCACATGGTTATTTGTGTTAGCTTGCTGTAGGCATATTGGCTGCTGCGTCTCCTATATAATAATCGTGACTGACCTTCAAATTATTTCATCGACTTTGAGCCATCTGAATGTTGTTTACAAATACAAGTTCCATCTTTCTCTCCTTTTCTATTTCTCCTTCTCTGTCTCTCTTCATTTCACCATCTCCCTTTCGCTTTGTTTCTTTTTATCTTTCAGTCTCTCCTTTGACAATGTTGTTTAGAAGACTGTGAGAGGAGTTGGATCTTGTCATTCCCCATGAGGAACAGAGATGGCTAATGCTCAATTCATTGTCATTCAAAAGTTGAAATGTTGCAAAGTAAACTCATTGGGTTTTATTGAGGGGAGCTGAAATTCTCAGGGAATTGAAGAGATTTGTAGTTCTGTAACAAGCCTGGAAACTCAGCACAGCAACTAGGCCAGGGCCAGAAATGTGGGGACTGTTGACAAATATAATCCACATAGAAATGTGTGAGCAGTGACCATACATCAGGATGCTGTCACTGTGTTAACACAATTGCAGAGGACACTCACTGAGAGCACATACCTCTGGCAAGCTGCCTTAATGCAGTGATAACACAGTTGTACAGCTCTGCCCTGCCTTATTGTGTCTCTGAAACTGCAAAGCTGAAAGAAGAAATTGTTTTATTCAGAACTTCCATCTCACTGGAGGGGCTTCAAGCCTAATCTAGTCCAACAACCTGCTCTGAAAATTCTCTTCACATTTGGAGATAGTAAGAACTGCAGATGCTGGAGTCAGAGATAACACAGTATGGAGCTGGAGGAACACAGCAGGCCAGGCAGCATCAGAGGAGCAGGAAAGTTGACGTTTCAGGTCAGGACCCTTCTTCAGAAATCACATTTGGATGGCTGTGACAAATTCTACCCAGCAGCTGAGACATTCCGAGTTTAATAATCCACAACATTTTAAAATGTAGATGTTGTCATAACTATTTTAAAAATTCCAGGAGTTGGATCCATATCTTCATCAAAAGCCAATTAGTTCTACCTTGGGCCATACCCTATCTACATGCCAAGTTTTGCAGTTTTTAGGATGTATTTTGTTTTGACCAACAAACTGGAACAAAAACATGACCTTTGTCCAGTGATTACAGAGGGGGGATTGTCCAATTGAATGACTGTTTATCACAATATATCATGCATAAAATTGTCTATTATTAAATTCACTCTTATCATTGAGTTTCCTATACAATCTACTTTTTAAAATCTTGATTGATCCTGCAATGTACGTGTTTCAGTTACAAATCAAGGCCAAGCAACCAACCAGCTCTGTATCCGTTCTTTGCTCCAGCAATTTTGCCCTGATTTCTGTGATTTCATGTTGGGCTATGTGTGAGACAGTTAGCTTCCTTGACCAGATGATTAGAGAGTGATGCCAATGACAGGGTGCCTTCTTAGAGGATACCCTCCTGGTCCTGCCCCACAGTGGTTGTTGAGTGGCACCTCTCCAGCTACATGCAACTCCCCCCCTCCCCCCACCTCTCTCTCTCCCTCTTTGTAATGGAGAGTAATGCCTAATGCTGGGTGAGGAGGCATACATCTTGATTCTGTGACAATATAAGTTAAATGGTGTTCCACTTAGATTTAGAATCCTTGATTTTGATGCTTTGCGCATCCAAGCTACCACACATTGTCCACAGCTGGTCAGGTAGCACCTTCACCAGACCCCGCTGCCCTCCAAACTATTATCCAACTCCTTAGAACCTCCACCCACCCACCAGAACTTTACCTTTGGGTCCTACCTGAAGAGTCGAACAGCCCAATATTCAAAGCAAAGGCTTGAACTCTTGGGATCTGGCAGTTCATGTAGAATCTGGTCAGTCAGGAGCCCCGGTTAGGGCCTGTGCTCAGCACTAATTCTTCATCCAGAAACTGTTGCAGACAAATATCTTCTACAAGACCCTGTCACTATAAATATGGCAGTGACTGCTCAGGAAAGGTGCTAGAAACTAAAGATAGAAGAAAGTGTAAGTTTGAGAGTAAAGGATAAGCATATTTTTAAATATCTGAATGAGACAAAAAAAAACTCACCATCGGCCAATTGATAAGATAACCAGATATCCTTTCAGACTGCACTCCATTCCAAACGCACTGTGAAAACTGATGGAGAACACCTCGATGATGTTTAAGGTACAGACAAAATGTAAGGAATTAATAGTATTTGACTGTTGATGCTTTTGGATAGAGTGAATGGCTTGAACCTGGAATGCACTGCTTGAGAGAGTAGTGGAGACAGATTCAATCTGGACTTTCAAGAGGAAATTGGATGAAATACCAAAGAGAAAATATTTGCATTGTCACAGGGGAACTGGTGAAGGAGTGGGACAAGCTAAATTTGCACATGTAGACTTCTGTATCCCGCTCTATTAAATGGTTATTCCAGCAAAGTACACATACTTTTACATTGCCTCATCAACTAGAAGCAATTGAACAGAATGCTTTGTGTTCCCAGAGGCATCTCATTCATTATGCTTTAGAGTCATAGAGTCATTATGATGCAAAAGGTGGCCATTCAGACCATAGCATCCATGCTGGAGGATTTCTCCTGCTACACTATTGACAAAAGGCCAACAAGACAGAAGATGCTACTCAACAGTGAATAGAACGAATGGGCAAAATAAAATTTGAAAGTTAAAGACACCATGATAAAACTTCTAAATCAGATTGATGAAACTATGACAGCACAAAACATCAGACATGAAATGAAAGGAACTGGAGATGTTACTGGTTAGCAGATAATTGACGAAAACTGAGGGGAGAGAAGATACAATGGAGCTGCAGTGACCTCATTGAACTTTAAAGAATAAACTCTGCAGGAAATCAGTGAAATTTATTGGTGTGAAAAGATGACAAACTAAGAGACTGGTGGAAAAATAACTAAACTGAAGGAAAAGCATTTTGTTGCTTATTATTTTTGAACACTCTCTCTACAGACATCTTTGGATGAAAAATACTTAAATAAATTTTGAAGAACTTGCCAAAAGCTGGTTCAAGCAGGATATGTTGACATGAGGCAGACAATTGAGATAGCACAGAAATGGAAGATTGAAATTTCTGAAATGTTTCTTTTCAAAGAATAGAGAACAAGAAGCATTGTAATGATTAGATGCAAACAATGATCTAAAATGTTATACGAATCAAATTCAGATGAGATTTCTTGTTCCAGATGCTTGGCAGCCTTTGAAACAGTGTCTAGTGCTGCTGACTGTGTAAAGTTATAGAAAGAAAGCTGATGAGAGGTGAAGGAATTGTAACTGAATCAGTACAAAAACCACAGTTGATCATTATCAAGCCTGAAAAGGAGAACTTGACTGGATGATAATATTTCTCAAAAACTGAAACATCTTTCCTTTTGTAACTCAAAAGTTTTGTAATCTTATTAGTTCAAATCTAAATACTGCAGATGCTGGAAATATAAAATAAAGAGAAAATGCTGGAGAAACTCAGCAGGTCTGGCAGTATCTGTGGAGAGAGAAACGGAGTTAATGTTTCAAGTCCAATACGACCCAATAGAAGAATGTTCTGGAGAACTCATATCAGACCCAAAATGTTAATTCTGTTTTCTCTCCAGAGATAATGGATTTCTCCAGCATTTTCTCTTTTCATTTGTAATCTTATTAGTTTATGCATTAGTGAACAAATTAATAAAATAAAATTCAGAGGGATAAAGGTTTGAATTGTTTTATTCACCGATAATAGGTTTAAAAGAGTAAGTTAGCATGTCAAGATTATTTCAAGTAAGTTTAGGAATAATACAAATACTATTAATAAATACATTTATATTTCAATAACTTTATCAATGCAATGGAAAAATAGCAGAAAACAACCTGATAGTGGTTGGAAGATAATTTAAATTAGCTTGTACATTTTCAGCCTTGTTGGCATTGGATAATTGGGCTCCTCTCAAACAATGAAGCTGCTTTATTCATGTTGGCACTTCAGGCTGGTGTTTACGCTGCCAAGATTAATGAGGAATCCAGAGTAAACTGCTATCCTATATAGGATGAAGCAGAAATCCCAAAGTCTAAAGGAAGGAGCTACAGGAGCACATTGCAAAGAAGAGGAGAAAATGAAGAGAAAGAAGAAGGAAAGAAGATCATGAAAGATGAATGAATTAGAATAATGAAGTCGTGTACATTGGAGATAGAATGGAGGAAAATAATTATGAAAGAGTAGTTGGAAGGAACATGAATATAAAGGAAATTGATGGAAGCAGGAATAGGTGGATAGAGAATGAGTAAATGTGAGAAAAGGAGAAAGCAGAAAAGAAGGGAGGTTTTGGAACAAGATAACAAATTGGTTTAAACATGGAGTTGGTCCAGTTCGATACTCACCTTAGTGATATCTTGTTTTGTTTCAGGTTTGTTCCTGAGATGGAATCAATCACCGGAGCATCAGAATGAGGCTTGGGAGCAGATTAATCACATAATGGAATACGGCAGGAGAAAAACACATCCAACAAGTACAGAACTGTCTGCTCCACAGGAAGACCCTGCTGGACTCTAGGAGCTTTCAGCACTTAGCATTCAGAGGCTACTCTCAATCTGAATGATTTTCAGAACTTTTCAGCCTCATCCTTTCAAGATCACAACCAGCTGGAGGGATATAGAAAAGACACAACTCTAACTCAGACCGTTCACCCGCAGAGATCAGCGAAGGGAACTGAGTTGAAACGAGAGAAGGAGGGAAAGCAATTTCCAACCTGATTAACACAATGGTAGCTGAATAAAAGTTTCAGAACTTTATTTTTTACTTTATTATTCGTGCTGCCAATATGAAAATGATTAATCAGCTGGGAACTCCTTGCAGTTTATAAGATATTTTCCTTATTACAGATCACTCTCTCCTTAGCTACTGGTAATTTAGTCATGTTTGCACATTTACTTGTTTCCATTCTGAAGTAGGTACTTGATTAGGGCAGAGTTATGAGCAGCCAAGCTGACTGGAGAGTCTCTCCTGTTCTGGAACTGAATCAGCCCACACCATTCTCCTGAATACTATTTTTCAAATATAGGGATAGCATTGTTAGCGACATAACTGAACAACTTTGTTATATTTTTGAAATACTTTTGTCCTGAAGTTATTCATGGTCATAGTTTTTTTTTGAATTGACAATTTCTCTTGTTTTTAACACATTATCAGCAAAATTGCTTCAGTTTATGCAGAGAAGCTCAATAAGAGACTTTGTTCAGATTACAGGATAATATTTCAAATACACAGCTACCTAGATAATGCGAACATCTATTTCCCTCTGTAACAAGAGCAATGATCAAGAGTGGAAATGTATGTTGTAGGTGATTGGGAGCTTTGGCTCTCTGTTTTTTTTTTAAAGCAAGAGAAAAGATATGAACCTTAATCCTGGTTTACTGCCTCAGTAAGTAACAATGTTGTTGTATTTTACCAAATGTTGCATTTTAGTTGAAGATCCTTAAAGAGTTCCAGAATCTAAAGAGTCAACATTATGCCATCCAGTGTTGGTAAAGAAGTACTGCAATAATATTTAGTGTGGTTGGTTCAATGGACATGTGCCTAAACTTCGTCCACCCAATTCAAACCAAAACCTCACACACCGAGAAGATACTGATTTAAAGAAAGCAGAGAGTTTGCTGTATATGTTGTTAATATATTTCAGGGAGTAGAATGGTAACAAGTGTAGTTTGTTTCACAGCATAATTAATAACATTACACTGAATACATTCTTCTTCATACATAGAGTAATCGATATATTACTGCAGAGATAGTAGGAACTGCAGATGCTGGAGAATCTGAGATAACATGGTGTAGAGCTGGATGAACACAGCAGGCC